TCGTCACTTTCGTTGAGCCCTTCCCGCGCTACCGAGCTTCAGGGGTTGACTTTACCATTTCCCCGAAAAAAGGGGGGGGGAGTGACAAGCTCTCCTGTTCAGCATTGTGCTCGCGCGCGTCCGGGGAAAGGGCGCGGGGAATGGCATTGTTTACGGCGCGGCGAGGTGGCTTTGTTGTGGCGCCTCTTCTGGGGCGTGGGGCTGAGGCATTGTCCGGGGGCAGGAGGAGAGAGGCAGGCGTAGGGACGTGACACAGACCGAGCCGAGCGCTTGGGCTCTGAGGGCGCTCCGTTTCCCCTGCTGCTCCTCGGCGTGTTGTTGGGGTTGCGGAGGCGCGGCTGTGTTGCTCCCTCCCGTCCTCAGCCAGCTCTTTGTTGTGGTCGTCTTAGGGAATCCTATATTAACCCCCCTTCGCGGCTTCTCTTCGGGCCCCCCAGCCCTGTTCCACAGAACCCGAGAGGAGGCTTCGCAGTTCCTTCGCCAGAGGCACCGACGAGCCTTCCAGGTCTTCGAAGAGACCAAGCAAGGCCACCTCGAGCGAGAATGCGTGGAAGAGATCTGCAACAAGGAGGAAGCCCGCGAGGTGTTCGAGAACGACCCTGAGACGGTAAGAGCTGGGGGGGAGGAAACGAAAGGAGGGCTGTTCTCTCCCCCCCCCCTCCGGGGCTTTCCCTTTCCCCTTTTAAACGACTAGCGTTGCTGCTGGAGCGGCAGCAACCGGAATGAGGACGCCAGCTGCTTGCACAGCTGGGGAAGTTGTTTGGAGGAGGAGCCATTAGATAAATAACTAGAACCACGCTTAGCAGGATTGCGTTTGGATTGCGAGGCCAAGAGCAGAGAGTGGGGAAATGAAAGCTTGGTCGTGTTTGTGGTCTACCAAACCGGCATGAGTTTCCGATGGGGAATCCTAGTTTTGGAGAATCTTCGTTTTTAAGGGTGAATTACATTCTAATGCAGCTGGATTGTAGTCGCTTGAGGGGGGGGGGAGGTGCGTCTTGTATTTTGCATATCAAAATGCTTATTTGGATAGCTCTCTGGTCACCTTCTTTTCTGCCTCAGGTTTCCACCATTCCCCCTTGAATAGTAGGTATCTAAAATGCTTCCAAGTACAGGGATTCCGCTGAAGAAATCTTTCACAGAGAAGCATTTAAAGATGTGCTCAGTTAGAGAAGCAATCAAAATGTCTCACTGAACCGGCAAATTTTCCTAACTTTCTGGACCTGTACTTACATCCTGAATTGCAATAATTGAAATTAAGTAGACTCTTACCTTTTAATTATTTGGCATAGTGAAGATGAGATGGTTACACAAGTATGGGTGTTGCTATTTTGTACTGCAGCTGTTTGCAGTGCAGAAGTCATTTTAAGGTTTGTGTTTTATGCTGCTAATAGCATTCAGACCGTCTAGCACTCTTGCAATGCATACAGGTTTTAGAAAAGGTTATTTCTAGTTTGCTTGCATTGTGGGGATGTGCATTTCTGAACAGGCTCTTTTATTGCTGGATTATCTGGCATTAGTTTAGGGAGCAAATTTCCTGGAGAAGAAACTGACTGGTGATTTTGCACTGGGCTGTGCTTTCCCGTTAATGATTTGATGTGCATGGGGGGGCAGGGTGAGAGTTATGTAGGTCAAAAGTACTGAGAATGGGAGGGACTTGGCTCTTTGAGGAGTTAGTGTTTTTGTATTTAAGGCAAAACATGCCTTGGCATGTATATTCTAATAGGCTCACAGCAGAGCACCACCACAGCACGAGTAGTTGCACAGTTGTTCAAAAATGTGGCAAATAAACTCTAAGTAGTGTTTAGTTTAGAATTCTCAGCAAGTCAGGGTCTTCATGAAGTCAAGGTGTTTGAGTAGTGCATGGAGAGGGATATATTATTGCTGTGTGATAAGGACTAATACAATGGAAAACTTTACATAGTAGAATGGCTTACTAGTTGCATTCCCATAGAATTCTGCCCTGTAATACTTATGTAAAATGTTAATGCTTTATATTGAGTCCATTACTTAAGGTAAACTATATAAAAATTCAAAACAACAAACAGACTCATGATTCCTTAAGAGTAATTGTCTTGTTTTGGCATAAGCTTTTAGTTGAGTAGTGAATTTCAGGAAACACCAAGCCTCCATTTTGATATAATTTTTTGCAACCTCCACTATATTTAAACTTGCTTTTAAACCAGGAAGAAGGTATTGTCCATGTGTGGCCTCCAGGATCAGGTCTCAGAGAGTAGTTGATTCTATAGGACTGCAACTTAAAAGGCTGTGGCCCAAGTTCCAATCCTTCCCATCCCTTGATTGGTAGAAACGTTGGTTCCTGAGACCCAGGGCTGGTGGTAGCGTACCCTGAGGAAGAGGAAGTTGCCAGGGCCCAGGACTTTTGGTGGGGCCCACTACCACAGACTTCCACCCCTGTGTCTCCCCTCCCCCATCAATACTTGTGCTCTCAACTGCTTGGAGTCATCGAGGAAGGGCATTTGGGTGATGTATAGTTGTGGTCACTTCTAATAGCAATGGCAACAGCTCTCCCAGCTGCATACATTGGCCAGTGCTGTTGAGGGGGAAGTGTGCAGGTGGCTCAATTAATAATAATTATTGCATGACAATGTGTGCAGTATAGCCAGGAGATCCTAAGGTTGTCTGACAGTCTTAAATTCTAGCTCTTTTAGCGTTATGTACCACTAGGTGGCGAGCTAGACTTGTTTTATGGCAGGAGACATTCCAGAGGTGGTGTGCCATTGCCTGCCTCTGTGTCACGACCCTGGTATTCCTTGGAGGTTGCCCATCCGAATACTTACCTGCTTAGCTTTCGAGATCTGACAAGATTGGGCTAGCCTGGGCTATCCAGGTCAGGGATGCAGGTGGTGCAGGGACCTGAGAATGGTTGGTGGGAGAGCTTGCAAGCAGGAGAAGATGAACAGGAAGGTAGTGGGCATAGAAAGGAGGGCATGAGGGGGTCCTGGTGGTGGGCATATGGGGCTCCTGGCACCCAAAAACCTGGAACCAGCCCTGCCGAGACAGCAACTAACTTCCTCATTGGTTGACTACTGCTAGCCAGATGTGTGAAGAGGTCTAGAAAAACTTTCAGATCTGCTCATAGAAATAGAAAAGGAACAGCATCACACAAAATATGAACTTTTGGTATTGAAAACCGTCATTAGCTACTGGTAGATTCAAGTGGGGTAGACGTGTTGGTCTGAAGCAGCAGAACAAAATTTGAGTCCAGTGGAACCTTTAAGACCAACAAAGTTTTATTCTACATATAAGCTTTCGTGTGCAAGCACACTTCTTCAGATAAAGTGAAACAGAAGTCACCAGCCATTACATATAGGTAGCAGGTGAGGAGGGTGTTGCCAGGAAGGGCCAATTAGAGTTAAGATGCATGAATAACCGAGCAGTAAATATAGCTAAGACTGGATGAAGGTCTTACCAATCACCTTCATCCAGTCCCTCTCATGGAAGGATTGTGGCTGAGTGGTAGAGTATCTGATTGGCATGAGGATGGTTCTAGGTTCAGTCCTTGCATCTCTAGTTAAAGGATCTTGCAGTAGGTGATGTGAAAGACTTCTGCCTAAGACCCTGAGAGTTGCTGCCAGTCTGAGTAGACAATACTGCCTCTCATGGACCAAGAGTCAATTCAATTCAAAACCTTTATTGGCATGGATCAGAGTCATAAAGGACCAAGAGTCTGATTCAGTATAAGGCAGCCTTATGTATTCAATGTGTAGAGGAAGCCTCAATAAATCACATGGCTTTTTATAGGGACCATGGCTCACTAGGAGAGCATCTGCTTGGCATGCAGAAGGTTGCAGGTTCAATCCCTGACATCTCCAGTTAAAGGATCTGGCAGTAAGTGATGGGAAAGACCTCAGATCCTGGAGAGCTGCCAGTCTGAGTAGACAATACTGTCTTTGATGGACCAAGAGTCTGATTCAGTATAAGGCAGCTTCATGTGTTCATGTGTTGTTGTAACTGTACCTCCTTGGTGCTACTCAGCCAACTGGAATTTCTACAACTGAACTGCAAGAGTCCTGCAATTAATCAGAGCATTTTCTGGTTCCTGCTCTGAAGTGATTTGGTGACTGTGAGTGGCAGTGACTCTGCGAACTCCCATCTTTCAAAAGAAAGGAGGCCAATTCTGCCCCCTTCAGTGGAAAGCCCCTGCCGTCATTTCCAGGAAACTGAGAGTCCTCCTTTTTCGTAATGGTCAGATGGATGTGAGAGGACTGAAGGACCCACTGGAGTTACCCTCATGGGCACCCAGGGGTCCCCAGACTCCAGAATGGATAACTTTGGGTTGGTCTTTAAGGCACTCTAAGACTCTTTGTCGTTTTGTTACAGCAGACTGACATGACTGCACCCCTGGGACTGAAATCTAACTTTATGGTTTTCTGTAGTAATTCACTCTAAGGTGCTGAGTAATAAGAAGCTCCGAATCTGAACTTCTTGGGGGTGCGAACAAGGTAATTTGAAGTCATAGCTGTATTGATTAGATTTTTGACAGGAAGGATGCTGTAAAATTAGCATAGCGAGTTTGTTAGCCAAAGTAGTGTCTACCAATGGTATTTTTATGACCCTGCCTTTCCCCCTTGGAGCTCAGTGTGGGGTTCTCCCCTTCCCATTTTATCTTTACAGTCCTTTTAAGTAGGTTCTGCTGATTGAGGCCTAAGGTCATCCAATGAGTGTCGCGGCAGAGCTGAGATCTGAACATAGCTCTCAGTTCTCTAACCACTATACAATACTGGTTCTATTGTAACAGCCTTGATACTTGGATCCTTTAGATTCAGCCAATTACTGCTGGGCAAGGTTTCTGAGCAAGGTGATTGAGAGAGTGGTAGCCAAACAGCTCCAGGGCTTTCTGGATGACACATCAGCATTGGATCCATTCCAGTCCGGCTTTCACCCAGGCCACGGGACAGAGATGGTGTCGGTTTGCCTTGACGGATTATCTCTGTAGACAGCTCGATTGAGGTGGGTTGGGGCTGCTGTTGTTGTTTGACCTCACGGCAGCGTTCAACACAGTTGATCATGATCTTCTGACTCACCGACTCACTGACATAGGAGTTCGTGGGGTGGCGGCCCTTTTTGTGGATTTTCTCATTTCTCCATGACCTTTTTGGCCCTGGCCCCAACCTGGTGGAACACTCTGCCTAATACCACCAGGGCCTTGCGGGATCTTCTGCAGTTCCACAGGGCCTGCAAGGTAGAGATGTTCTGCCAGGCTTTTGGTTGAGGACAGCCACAGTTTTCTGTCGTAGCTGGGACCCTCTCCCTTTCCCCCTCCCCTTAATTCTGATCTTGAGTTTGCTCTCGTCTTGCCCAGAAAGTGGCCAGGCTGTCCAGAACTGGGATGAAGTTTTTAGGGACTCCTTTTTAACTTTTAAAAAATTTGTTCTATTTTTGTTCTATTTGAATTTTTAATGTTTTGTACATTTATTTTATGGCTTTGTGCCTCTGCTGTACATTGCCCAGAACCCAACATGAGATGGGATAGGGAGATTAATAATAATAATGATAATGATAACAATAAAGTGGCACTATTCCTTTCAAGAGGATACTCTGTTATTACAGCTATTAAAGCAAGTATACTTATGGAAAGAGTTTGAA